GGCTTCCAAACAATGAAGAAAATTTCTAGGATATTAACAGGTGAAGCAACATCTTTTCAAATTGAAGAAGAATTGTCAGTAAGTGTGACCGTCCTTTTCAAGTACGCACCAATAACATCAGTAGACGTTCAAAGAAGCTTCTCCTGGTATAAAAATTTGTTTTCAGACAAGAGACGCTCGTTTACATTTCAAAATATTAAAAAAAAAATTTAATAATCCACTGTAATTCTGATATTTAGTAATATTATGAGATGGAAGTTGTTATATTCATTTAAGTTTCTATACAAAATGAAAATGTTTTGGAGTCAATATATTTTCCTTTTTTTTGTTATTTTTGGATATAAAACATATTTGTCAAACTTTAATGAACGTAGAACAAGTATTGCATTGCTTTATATTTTTTGAAACGGCTCATAATAATTTTAAAGAGTGAAACATTGTTTTAGTTCAATATTTTTACTTTAATTTAAGTCATGTCATAAGGCATTTTTAGCGCAATTTTCGCATTTTAAGTTCATTTTTTGCACTTTTAAGGGCATTTTTTGGAGTTTGTAAGGGCATTTTTTACACTTTTTAAGGGCATTAATTGAGATTTTTCAGGTCATCAAAATCCGGGCTCTAATCATGACGTCTCAACTGACGTCACACTGGGTCAAATTGCATTGTTCGTTAAAATTTCAAGACAGCGTGGATTTTAGCTGAGCATGCAAGGGCATCCTTTTTAGGTTTACATTAAAAGGTCTCTGCTGAGTGCAAATAAACCTTATTTTGTTATATGGGAGTCGTTCATAAATTATGACACGTTTGGAGGTTAGATTTGGGTACTAATCCAATGATTTGAATCAGTGATTGAATTACTGAATTGATTTGGTGATTCGAATCCACAACTTGCAACTGATTCGAATTGATCAATTGATAAAATCACTCATTGAATCGAATTACTGATTCGAATCACTGAAGTAAACCGATTAAATTGATTCGAATCACTTAGAGGATTCGTTTTGCCCAACTCTATTGGAGGCACCAAGATTTGTGAAATAGCAAATTTTGTGAAGTAACACATTTCGTTCGTTCGCAGATACTGAAAAATATTTTATGAATGATTATTATTTTTCTATTATATCAATCTATTGTCGAACCAAATTGTATTCAAATCTGTCCACTGAATCCAGGAGATATTTGACCAAATGTAAAAATTTTTTTAGTAAATTATTAATAATTAGAGTGTTCCATATTTTTAGAAAACAATATCTGTAAACTTTATATTAGATCGATGTAAAGGGATCATTTTAAAGCAAAAAATGCACAATAGTGAGCTCAAAATATTTCTTCTGTCTGATAGATTGACGTTCTATGTAAATGGAAGGGGTCAGTTTCATTTGTTCATCAACAACGATCACAAGGGTGCCATACTGACTGGATTGCCCGTTAAAGAGCAGCTATGGATCATCCTGGATCTTTATGGCATCACTGTTTCAGTCAAATTTGTGGCACACTGTAAGTATTAACAAACATTATGCGACAAATAGGTTATTTAGAGTGGAATAGTTGTAGGCATTAAACTCCAAGCTTACGTATTTAATTCGAATATTTTTCATTATTTACACAGTTTAATAGAGATATGTAGATAATGCTATATATATATATATATATATATATATNGGTTTAAATATATATGGTATATATATATATATATATATGTATGTATATAAATTTTGAATATAAGCAACTAACTAAAATAAAACTAATGTAGAAAAAATATATGATTAACTTAAATTACATACATAAAAAGAATTTTAACGACTCACTCTATTATTTTAACAAACTATTTTGAAATTTTTAGAAATAGAAGGAAATTATTTATAAAGTAGATTCTAATTACTGGAAATAAATGAAGTTTTACTTAAACGACCTCAAAGTTATTCATGGTTCTAATTTTGAGAAACCTTGTTTCCCATCAGTTTTTTAATACAGAAGATGAGATAGCTGTTTGGGGACGACTTTTTGGCATGCACTTCTATCCAGAATTTCAATTCAAGTAAAGATTGGTAAAACAGATAGCCGTAAAGTCTGTCTGATTAGGACATACAAATCAATTGATAAAAATCTCTTTAACTAAAAATAAATTCGAAATAAGGAATTAAATTGATAATATTTTTAAAGAATTTCTTACATTAATTTTTTTATGAGAATTTATTTTATATTACTTGTTCTTTTATTCTCTCTCAATTCGCATTAATGTTGATGAGAGTATAACTAACATAACCCAGATGATAGATTAATATCCCTTCTAAACTAGTTTTATTTTCCTCAGCCGGTTCTGTCCCAACAGAAGTGATAGCAAGAGGTCCCAACGCTGTGCAAGCTTATCAGCATGCATTATCTTACGGCAGCACACCTTATTACCACACAAGAATAGCCATGATTGGTCCCCCAGACGGAAAAAAAGCTCTCCTCAAGAAGTTGCTCCTCAAGTCAGGGTAAGAAATCTTTTAGCATTTACTATTTTATTTTCTGACCCAATTTTGAGCCTACGACTCCGAACTCTTGTAATTTTGAAACTATTCCAGAAGACAGGGGAACTTCTAAATCAAGTATTGGAGGAAACTTACCCGCATTTGCCTTACACGGAGAGAAAAACCACGAAAACCTCATATTTTTTAACCTGACGGCAAAGAGACCCATGATTCGTCTACCTCTCAGGATATTTTATGTCAGCACTAGGGTCGGAGCGAGCCGGGTGCAGATTTCGTATCGGCCACCCATGGCAGGGATACGAATCCGAGTCACCACATTGGAAAGTAAATTCTACATCACCTGAGCCACCATGACTCTTAGCATTTACTATTTTGTAACAGTCGTTGAACAGTCGACCCAATTTTGAGTTTACGGCTACAAATGTTGAATCCAGCCTTGTAATTTTGAACCCAATTCAGAAGACAAAGGAGCTCCAGAATCAAGTAGTGGGGGAGATTTTGTTTTCATTTACTTTTTGATGGAACTTATTCACATTTGCATTACATGGAGAGGAAAACCTCGAAAACCTTCTACGGTTAGTCTAACGGTAAGAGACTCTTGGATCACAGCCTACACAATTTTGAGTTTACCGTTACAAATGGACAACTCCATAGCCTTGTAATTTTGAACCCAATTCAATAGGACAAGAGGATCAAGTATGGGGAGAAACTTTGTCTTCGTGGAAGATTTTTTGATCGAACTAATCAGCACTTGAGTTACGTGGATCGAAAAACCAGGAAAATCTTCTGCGGTTTGTCTAATGACAAGAGATTCTAACCCATGATCTACCAATGAGAATATTTTTACGTCAACACTGTGGTCGATGCGAGCCGGATGTGAAATTTGTATCGACCTGCCATCGCTGTGATTTGAACCCGGTTCACCTCATTGGAAGGCTTAACGCTCTATCCCTGGAGCAACTCAGCACTTGCTATTATAACATCTCCTATTTTTACATAATTTCTAAAAAGTTTGAGAATTATTCGCCGCAAGAAGACCATCATTACGTGGAGTTAATAAAGAATGTTTGGTTCATAAGTGTGTAGCATGTTAGTGTTTAAATATTTTATTTAATTTAATAAGCCAAAAAAAAGTTAAAATTCACGAGTCTAAAATTCAAAATTAAATATCGATACCTAAAATCTTTCCTACGTACAAGGTATCCGAACTATAGGGCGAAAAGTTTAAATACGTTTCTTTATTTACCACCAAAATTATCCAATGTATGTCTTGGTTGTAAATTAAGAGGACCGTTGGAGAAACCCTTTACACCTACACAAGCAATTTTTTTTTTTTTTACATTTATCCAATAAAATTTATTATTCAGTCAATACATTTCATTACAATGTGTGCGAAAGGAAATAAAACAACACAAATAAACAATTACAAAAGAAATAAAGTGAGATTAGGATTACAGAATTAAATTTTTACATAATGATAAATGAAAGAAGTATAGGAAAAAATACAGGTAAAACTTGAATAAACCATAAAATTTAAAAGCCGTTTTTTTTAAATATTAAAATGCAAACAAATTGTGGCAGTATAATACTCAGGTAAGTACTTCATTTTCATCACACTAGAGCTGCACAATGAGCTATTAGTGATGGTCTGGGAAACATCCCTAAGAATGATACGAAGACATGCCGTCGCAATTTTGATCCTCTGCAGAGGGGATGGCTCCCCTGCTTTGGTGGCCCGACGACCTGCGCGTGAAGTCGAGCACATTAGGGTGGTACAATTTATCGGGAACTGATACCACGCACCCTCGATCCCTACTCAGGCTTATTAAAGTGGTCACCCACCCGCTTACTGACCGCTGACATTGATGATTGACTTCGGTGTTCTACGGGGTGTCTTTATGATCAGTCCACTGTGGGACTATATTACTTAGAATTAAGCAGTGTGGATATAATACTGTAATAAATTGTTGATGATTTCATATTTTGAAAACTTGTAGAATCTGATTAGCGGATAAATCTTTTTTTATCAATCAACATCTCCCTCACTTCTGCGAATTAGCTGGCGTGAATTTTTTGCATACAGTTAGGAAGGTCCCTTAAAAAACTATCAATCTCGATAATTGAAAAAAAAATTTTTGCTTTCGCTTATATTTCCGCTGATAAATCTTCGGGGAATAGTTGTTATCGACAATGTCAACCATCATCTGTGAAAAGGTACCCCAACATAAAATCGAATTAACATGTCTCATATGCTAGTAAAATGAATTTGTATTTTGTAGATACACTGCGGTACTCCCCCCCCCCCTTCAC